GTCTTTATAAGTGGCTTTCCTTGCAGTTTATAAGAGTTTAAAACTTTTATGTTCATTTACTTAATTCTTTTCATATAAAATAAAAACGTAATACATTTTGTTTAATCTAATGAATTTATAAAATTTGGCAACTAAGTTTTAATCATTTAAAAGTGGCTTAAATTATTTAGTTATTTAACTTTATTTTCTATTAAATAATTAAGAATGAATGAAATATACTTTTCATTTTAAATTAAAAATTATCAGTCAAAGAATTTAATAAAAATATTCGTTTTTATTTCTTAGTTTTACTTACCATCGATCCCAAACCTAAATGATAAGGCTGTGAGTGTGGCACAACACCACCACCCAATGAACCAGCTGTAGAGAAACCACCTTGCAAACCACTTGAAGCACCCAAAGCGCCCATGCCGCCGGTATACCAGCCGCCGTGCATATGCGCATGTGCAGGATGTAAGCCGCTGGAAAGATGGCCATGTTGTGCTGGAAATATAAACAAAACAAGACAATAACAAAACGTTAATATGTGTACTACTAACATAGTATGTCGGTATATTGTTGGTAAGTGAAATGTGAGGGAGTAAATATGTGTAAATATGTGACTAACAAATCAATGCTTTCCATTGTCTACAATAGAAAATGGAGTCATTGTCTGGTGGATGACTTAAAACCTATTTGATTTACATGAAAAATTGAAATTTTTATAAATTCAATTCAGTTGCTTACCCATTGATGCTGAGAAGCCGCCACCAAAACCTTTTGATGGATCCAATGGTTTGAAATCACCCATACCCAAATGACTGCCAATAGGCAAACAAGCTCCGCCGAGGCCTTTCTTCTTTTTCGATTTTGATGAGAGCTTACGATTTCGTGTCTGTATGCCTTCCTTTTTCATAGTCAGTGGACGATTTACCTATAAAAGAAAATTAAAATTAAAATATATATAATAAATTTGTATAATTTTTAAATTTGCATTGTTGGAGAGCAGCTGTGGAAAATCAATAAGCACTTTATAAACGTAGTAAATTGTTTGTAGTTCGTGTTGAATGGAGTAATTGGGTCAACTTAAACTATGTTGGGTCATAAAGTTTTATTACCAAAACTTTTACTTTTCTTACAGCAATTTCAATTTTTTGTTTTTGCTTTTTTTTTAACAACAGCAACTTCCTTTTGACCTCCAATTGTGCGCACAAACTCGTTGAAATTAAATTTAACACACAGGAAATGCAACGTACTTCACACTCTTACACCATCGTTCACAGTATAAAGCAATAAGCAATAGCTACAATTGCCGTTTTTTTTTCTTCTTTTTTTTTTTGTTTTTCACCACTGCCAAAATATGTTTATTACTTGTATTGCATATGTAAAGTCCCTTAAGTCCCGTCTGCTCTAAAAGAGCTAAAAGCAATCTAAGCAAAAAACCGTAAATATATGAAACATTACTTATTTTTACATGATCAGATAAGCTCAGCTCGCCAAAACTCAACTCAACTCAACTCAGCTGAACTGAACTCAACGCGAAAGCGATTTTATCTACTGATAATTTGAGCCTACAAAGGTACGAGTCCGTGTATTACCACTGCAACTAATACACATACAACTACAACGACAACAGCACAACAGTTATGGATACAACAACAACTTTTAGTACTTCCCGCGTGCAAATAGGTGTGCATGTAAACCGCCGCCATTATTACTCTTTTGTGATACACTGACGAACATAAAAACCCATTTAAGTAGACATACGTAGCAGCGAGGTGAGTACCTCATATGCAATTGCTTATCACTTGCGAAAATCTACGCTAGCTGCTGTTAGAAAATTCGCTTCATTGCACTACAATTACAATTACAATATTAAGTTACTTCTCGTCATCAAACTTGTACGTCGTCTCTCTGTGTCCTCCATTATCCGACAAACACACAAATTCATAGGCGCATAGGTACTCGTTCATTGCAGTTAAACCTAATCATCCACTAAAAATAAACGTACAAGCATAGCTAAGTATAATATGGGTTCCAAAAAAAATGTTCTCTAAACCTGGGCGTGAATAATGTTGTTTGTAGTTCAGCGTAATTCAAAGCAATTAGGGTACAATAATAATAACATACAGTAGCGGATTAACGCTAAGAAAGGTTGACTGAATCGGAGAGTAACTATAACGAGTGATAAAGCAATGTTATATACATATATATATAAAACATAAACTGCAATTCTATTTAAATAAATTATTGCAAGAATAGATTATTTTTTATTGTTTCACAATGAATAATTTATATTACATATATAGGCCAAGGTTAATTGAGAAAAATAAATGATTATTATAACTAGTTAATAATTAGTTTTTAATTATAGTGCATTTAATTGCAAACAATTTTAATAAAAATATTCACAATTATTATCACTTAAAAATATAATAATATTTATGAAAATAATAGCTAGCAAAAATGTTTTATTAAAATTACAACTAGTACACCAGCATAGCGTTTAATTTACTAGTTAAAGTGTTAGAATGAATAACGAAATAATAAATGTAAAATTATTTTAAGCATATGTTTACTATATTTACAGTTATGTTTAGTTACTATACAATTTTAATGAAGTTGATACAATAATTAATAATGGTAATAATTATAACTAGTAGAGGTACAGTCACACTTTAATATAATGGTTTAAGATTAAGAATTATTTATGAGATATTGACTAACAGAACTCAGTAAAAATCTCACTGATATATAATTATTTTTTAATTTTGCAGTATTAAAACAACAATTACAAAATGCAATAATTATAACTAGTAAGTACATACTCTTTAATATAACTTTTAAAGTGTAAGAAATAATAATAAAGTATTGATTATTAGAAAATTGCTATTAACGATAATTTATTTATAATTTTAAGGAGTTAAGAGAAAAATTACAAATGGTAATATATACTAATCACATTTAGTAAAATTAGAACTAGTAAGTTAATCATTTTTTTTTTGTGTAGAGAATTTAATGAATTACGTTAATTATATATGTTAATCGTAAATATTGCTTAACAGAAACTAGTAAAATTGAATCTCGTAAGCAACAATTTCTTTTTCAAATACAAATACTTGTAAAAGAAATATTGAATTTTTCGTCATCATCACTCGGTGTGAGTTATAGATTCCTTAATAATATAGCTCCATTTTTCTCTGTCTTTTGTGTTAGAACTTTATTATTTCTTTTAAAAAAAAAGCTTTTATGTCTTTATTGATACGAATTGGTTAGAATTCAAAATTTTACATTTTGACTCATATCATAGCCATATTTTACAATGTTCTTACTAACACGGCTGTCAGGATTTACAGTTTCGGCTGCCCTGATCAATAGAAGTTGGCTCCTTCAATGGGAGTAACGTGGTGACTGTGCTTAAAACCCAAATTTACGTGGGTAGAATGAAGTAGATGCAAATTCAACAACATAAAATGCAAATTTTACAACATAGTGTTCTGACCTAAAGACCAGCAGAAGTGTCATATGGACCACGTTTCCTCTCAAGGTGCACACTATATTCAAACGTATAGCTTCAATTAGTATCAGCAAAACTTTTTAGAATTGCAATGGGGTGTTTATAGACTCATTATACTCATATATGTGTTAAGGACACCGTGGTTTTATGCCTTCACAACAGGTAATCACGTTAAAAAATGTTGAACTCTGTAGTTTGCATGTTTGTAGCGTTTCTTAGCTCAACAAGAATTGCAACTAGCAAAACAATCACTGTTATTTCAAGGAATTTAAGAACTAAAATATATATCGCTTATGTAGGATACTGAAACTAATAACTATAGAGAAATTGTAACTAGTAAATCAATACTTTTTATTTTAAGAACATAAACACCAAATTGTGTAACGTTTAAAAAGACATTTGTAACTAAAGATTAAAGGAAAATTGTAACTAGTAAATATTTTATTTCTGTTTTTGGACTAGTTGGTTTTAGTAATATTGTAACTAGTGAACAAATAGTTTTTAATAATAGTCTTTTATCTCTAATAGTATGCGTTAACTATTCACTAAAGAAGGTGTGTCCTTTTAGTTTAATTTACTACTAAATTTTTAAAAAATTTTAATTTTCGTAAATATTTATTTTCCATTAAATTTATTTAGATTTTTTTGTACAAGCATTACGACCGACTTACACCTAAACTTTTTAACCACAATACCGGTACTGTACAATAAATTATTTAGAGGCGGCCGTGTTTTTTCAAGCACAATAGCCTAACAAACTATTTATTAAACTTTTTGTATAAAATATTTAGAACACTTAAAAAGGATAAAACACAAAAGAGAAAGAAAACGAAAAAGAAAAAACACTGTCGCTCTCTTCAATAGTTCTTGCACAAGGGGGAAGGAATCAACACAGAAGCCTAGGCAATACAAAGGTAAAAATTGTGCAATGAAGCACACGCACATTTGCAGGATGTTAAGGAGGTGCACTCAACAATGTATCATTTACATATATTGAAAGTATATTCATGTGCTACATAGATTTGGCAAAGAACTGGAAGGACATTGCCTTTCTGTTTTTTTTTTAAATCTCAAAATTATTTTCTGTCGGCATGAATGTCAAATAATTGTTGACAATTATTAGAGGGGAAGTAAATGTAAACAATAAAAATGAGATTTTCAAAAGGTAAATAATTGTTTTGGTAATTGATACTTTTTTGTACTTTTAACGAGTGCAGCAGGAGCAACAACAACAATAAAAAAAATTAATGCTGCTGACAGTGAAAATTGCTACATTAATAAAATAATAAGTGCTGCAACAAAGCAAGCATTAAGCCGAAAAATAAGACAACAAAAAAAAAGTACCAGAAAAAAGTACTAAAAAAGAAATGTAAGTAAGGAACAGTAGGCTATAGTCTTAAGTGAAGTCAGTTTCATAAGCCTGTTTAGAGATTAGCTGAAGGACACTTCAAGCTGGAAGCATTGCAGCACATTTTCCTTAATTTGAGGTAGTAAGGAGAAGGGGCGTTTCCCTTATGCAGCTGGAAAGTTGTTTTGCATTCTATGCGAAATTTAAACGAGACGACAATTAGTTGGCTTGTTTTTAATTTCACTTTTATTAATAATGCAATGAAAGTGTGTTTTAAGTTGAAGATGTTATAATTAAGTTAATTATATTGCAACTATTTGTTTTTTATTAAAATTATAATTTACACGCGATTTGCATCATCTTGGGAAAATAAAAACTTCCCATAAGGAATTATTAAAAGCGAGCAAAAAAAAGTTAAAGTCACTAGTTATTAAGTAGTTTCATTAGTTCCGAACTTTGTAGTCAAAAAGGAGTAAAAAGTAAATATATTACTAGTACGATTTTTATTAGTTAAAATTGATTAAATCTTTTACGGGTTATAGAGGAATGATATTACAAATGAGTGTTGTACTTGAAAACCTAACTACATGCTATGTAGTAAATTATTAATGACAATTTAGTTAAGAATATCGTAGTGACTTCATCACTGGTGAAAATAGGTGAGGTTTGTTGTAAAGAGTAGAAATTAATAGCAATACATTTGTATCCTTTTCAGACGTAATATTGACATTATATCCTCAGTGTATGTTGTGACGTGACTGATAGCAGAGCAGATACTTAAAAGAATATCAAACCGACGAGTCAAGATGAATAACATATAATAGAAATAACTAGAAATCTTACATGAAAACTTTTACTTACTGGTAGGTAAGGTAATAAATTGTGTATGTAGTTGCATTAACACTAGTTAGAAACACTAGTGCATTGAATTTTACTAAAAAAATGTTATTTAATAGTGGTAACTAATAATGAAAATCATACATCAACACTAGTTAGAAATAACTACTAGTAACTATTGCTAAGTGTTTCATTTCATTAAAAAATTAATTTTAAGTCATGGTAAATGAAT